CAGGATAAAGACAAGCATGCCAAGATTAAACAAAAGGAGGGCATAAATACTAAAAATAGAGATGGGTGTGCCAAGAGTAAAGTAGAAGGCAATTTACATATTGCTTTTCCAATTGGGTCTTATCCAGAAGTGATTAATGAATCACAATGTTAGTTAACCATGGCCAGCCAAATTGGTGGGTTAAGTAACTCAGCCTCCAACATAATAAATAGAGAACGCCATCTCTCTCTCTCTCCCACAACTTGCAGTCGTGTCTCTCACATCCAAGCGCTTCAGCATTTCATTTATTCATCTCCCATTGCTTCTTCTTTTTTAATAAGTTATTTCCCATCCTTTTTATTCTTTCTTTGTAAGGAGAAAACCCAGCTCCCATCAGCCCACCCTTTTCCTTGTCTCTATTCTTTTGCTCAGGACTGGGCACATCATGTAGAGATCTATATCAATAGAATATTTCTACCAAAAGCCCAGGTTGTGTAGAGGTTTTAATCATTCTTAAGAGAACAATCCATGTTTGCTTAGGTCATGGATCAAACTGATCCTATTAGTTCGCTAACAAGAGAAGAATACTAAAATCTTGTCGCTTCTTCTTACGGCGAACGAGGTTGAGATTGAAGATCCAAATTTCAATCCTTTGATCCTAGAGGATTTGGTGGTATTTTCGATGTTGACATGGGGAAAATCACACCTAAGCAGTATGGAAATGAGAAAAATCACAACTGAACAGCATGGAAATGAAAAAAACCCAACCTACATGAAATTGAGATGTGAAGGTATGTAGTGCCATGTGAATGGTTGAGCTTCATGCAGATGTGAAGATCATGAGGGAAGATATGAGGATTGTTCAAGCCTAATAACATGAAGGGCAAAGATTTGTTCAAGCCAAACAATATATTGGACAAATTTTATAGCTATTTTGTGGGTGTGATAAATTGATAATAAATTTGCATGCAAACAGGCAGGTATCTGTAGTCATAGTTTCATATGCATGTCCGTAAGCCTATTTGTTATGCAAGGAAAAAAAGATGACATTTCTCTGTGTGTGTAAAACAAGAAAACATCCAAAGGCTTCAGCTTTTCATTGATTCATCTCCCATTTCTTTTTTCCAAAAAAGAAAAAAGTTATTACCCATCCTTTTTATTCCTTTTTTGCTAAATAGAAAAAACCCAATTCCCATCAGCCCACCTTTTTCCTTGTCCTCTACTCTTTTCAGGATGGGGCACATCATGTAGAGATCTACATCAATAGAATATTTCTACCAAAAGCCCAGGTTGTCTAGAGGTTCAATCATTCTTAAGAGATCAATCCACGTTTGCTTAGGTCTTCGCAAAAATGATTTTTGGATTAAACTGATCCAACTAGTTTGCTAAAAAGAGAACAAGATTGGAATTTTGTCACTTCTTCTGATGGAGAATGAGGATGAGATTGAAGGAACTTCAATCCTTTGATCCTAGAGAATTTGGTGGTATTTTCAATGTTGAAATGGGGAAAATCACACCTAAGCAATATGGAAATAAAAAAAATCACAACTGAACAGCATAGGAAGAAGAAAAACCCAACCTACATGAAGTGGAGATGTGAAGGTATGTAGTGCTATGTGAATGGTTGAGCTTTATGCAAATGTGAAGATGATGAGGGAAGATGCAAGGATTGTTCAAACCTAATAACATGCAGGGCAAAGAATTGTTCAAGCCAAACAATATATTGGATAAATTTCATAGCTATTTCGTGGGTGTGATAAATTGATAATAACTTTGCATGCAAGCATGTATGTATCAATAGTCATAGTTTTATATGCATGCCAGTAACCTTGTTTGTTACATGCAAACATGCATGTACCTGTAGTCATAGTTTTATATCCATGTCAATAAGTTTGTTTGTTATTCAAGGAAAAAATGATAAGATATTATTATGATGACATCTCTTTATGTGTGTGTAAAAACAAGAAAACAATGTATGTTTTCTTTTTCTCCTCTTTTTTGTTTTTTTGTTTTTTCATCCCAAATCAGAAGTTATATGACAATGTGCTTTTGCTTATAGTTACCTAAATTGCCTATGTCGGTAGCGATTCCGTTTCGGAATCTCGATTCGATGTTTCTCGGAACGAAAGTCAATTATAAAAGAAAGGAATCACATTTCCATTTTTTGTGGAACTCGATTCCACTTAGTTTAGGAATCTCGATTCCTGGATTGCCAGAATCAAGATTCCATATCGAGGATTTTATGATTCTTAGCTACGCAAGAATGCGATTTTGCTTATGAGAAACGTTGATTCCAAATTTTTTGGAATTGCGAATCCATGTTGTTTGCAATCAAGTTTCTATATCGCAGACATCGTGATTCCTTGCTACACAACAATGCGATTCTACTTATGCTAACGTTGATTCAAAGTATTAAGGAATTGTGAATCCATGTTGTCAGAAAGCAATATGAGCATATGGAGAGCTGAAACCTTTCAATGTGTGCTTAAACATGAGTGAGCGCGTGAGAGAAATTAAAGTTGTTGCACATGACAATAAAATCAAAATTTAAAATATAAGTAATATGTGAGCATAGGGAGTGCAGAAACCCTTTGATGTGTGTTCAATCAAGAGTGAGCGCGACATGTATGAGAACATAAGAGAATTTAAAGTTGTTGCACACGGCAATAAAATAAAAATTTAAAATATAAGTAACATGTTAAATTTTTTATTTTCTTATTTATTAATTTCCATCCTTCATTCCATGTTACTTTTTAAGAACTCTTACCAAGAATAAACAATACTAAAAAAATATGTTACTTCAAATTTAATAATGTTTGGTAAATGGTGTCGGTAGTAAACTACTAACGTAATAATGTTTAATATATGATCTACACCATCATCTCTTCAAGTTGAATAAGAGGATAAAAATGTTTTTCTTTCAGTAAAATAAGAAGACAATAAGGATATAAGCGAAGTGCCCTGTGTGGTGTTTTAGGTTAAATTAATCATTAAATATCGAAAAAATTGACTAAAAATTGAATACCTCAATTTTCAAAAGTCAAAAGACTCAAAACTACATTAAACAAAGAAGAATTACTATGTCATGTATTTATTTTATAATTCAAAGAAAGGAGATAAAGGGCGTTTGCCCTTGTTCTCACTCCTTGTATGTCGTAAACTAGCTCCAGACCTTGTAGGCATAATAGGGTTATCGGTAAACCGAGTCCATTGTATGGGATTTGTCCACAAAGATATCATAAAAGTTGACATTAATACTTGGAGTTTTGGACTATGTATATGCAGACCAAAATTCAATCTTGTAGTAATGGGTAAATTTATATATTTTCTGAATACTTCTCTCATATACCGGAAGGAATTGGTTTGCAATTCTAGTAATGAGAGAATCTCGATTCCAATATGGGGAGAATGACGATTCCGGAATGGTGAGAATGTTGATTCCAAATTGATGGGGACAACGATTCTAGAGTTTTAGGACGATTCCTTATTTTTAGGAATTACAATTCCAGCAACCACCGAAACAAGTGGGGTCATGTGTGACTCCACTAGTGTTTTAAAATGCGGGATGCGGCTCTGATGCGGTGGGGGGGTCGATGGCTCGATGCGGCCCGGATGCGGATGCACCGCGATGATGCGGTCAATAAATATAAAAAAATTCTAAAAAAATCTAAAAAAATAAGTTAATGCATAGAAAAAAATATGAAAGTGATAGTAGACATTTTAGTTTAATGATTAACTTCAAAACTATTAGCTATCGAAAATTCTGTATTCAGTTATCCACTTATATAAGTATTTCATATCACACAATTTCTATCTTTGGGATATTTTAGTTTAGCATATTTTCAAGCCGAATCCTTATTACTAGAAGATTGGGAAGAAAACATTGCCCCAAAAATATGTATAATAGTAATATTGTACAAGAAAGAAAAAAATTTACTGACTCTGTGAAACACTGCTCGATTTCTTCACGACATCTAAAACCCCCGATTTCTTATCACAAATTCACCCTAACATCTCCAAATCAACAATCAAAGGCATCCAATGAACATCTAAATATCAAACAAATGCCAAATCAAAGATTTCGATGAAAAAAAAAATTCCGCCCAAATTTTTTTTTTACCTCAATTTGATGCAAAGAAAGCCACAAAAGTGGCTGAAAATCTTCATTTAGTGCCCCTAATACCCCCCAAACAGTTTCCCTAACATTTGGATGGTCAAAAAGACCATTTTGCCGCTCCCCGATGGGCAAACAAAAAAAAAATTTGGCGGACATTATAGCAGTGGGATGCGGTGCGATGCGGCCTATGCGGGATGCGGCTACGATGCGGCGCATATGCGACCGCATCTGTCAAAAGCGCATATGCACTTGTTTCTAATACGGATGCGAGCGCATCCCACACGATGCAGCCTCATATGCAACGATGCGACCACATTTTAAAACACTGGACTCCATATAGGTATGAAACGCAATTTCAACATGAAAAGACATCGATTCTTGCAAATAGGAAACACGAATCATAATTTTTGAAACGCGATTCCGAAATAGTGAGAATCATTTTTCTCATATCCGAATCGTATAGATAGTGATCCCTAGATTCCGAAACTTCTGATACACACGATTCCACGATTTCGATTCCAGAAACTATTCGAAATCACATACGTTTCCAACAACTATACTTTTGCTAAAGCTTGACCAAAAAATAGGAAATTTTGCCAAGTCACTCTAAGAGAAAATACCCATTTAGTTTTTGAAAGCAATTGAAATGATGTGCAGTTTCCCATTTCTGTTGCTTCTTGTCTTTAGTTTTTGCTGGTGTCTCCTTGCATATAATAACTTTTTTGCCATCAGAAAATAAAAAGAAAACCAAAAAGATTGAAAACCATCAATCCATCTTCACCACACTCGCTAAAACTTGTCGGTTAAAGTGTTGATGATTGCAATACTACATTCCAAGTTTGAATCCTACCACTAAAACGAGAGAAAGAGATAAAGAGAGAGATAACTGATAAAGAAGGAAATATAATCTAATTGAACTTTCAATAGCAAACATGAGTATACAAGTATTCCCAAAGTAATTCAATATCTTATGTCTCTTGAAAAAACAATGATTTTCCTAGATATAGATCGGTTAGCATTAAATCTAATGCCAATACTACATCCGATTCTAAATTCTTGAAAAATTTTAGGTTTCAAGCTCTTTTGACTGAATTATTTCTGCATAAGGGCCCAATGGTCGACCCTTATGTAGAAGAACCATCAGCAAATTAAAAGAGAGAGAGAGAGACTAGACCTGGGAGTAGCTTTGTATTTTATATTTTGATGTCAATAATAACGTCTAAAGATAACCATTATTAAACCAATAATGGAGGCATCCTGATCTGGAATTAGGTCACCAACTACAACGCACCAAACTTGCTTGAGCAAAAAGCAGTTTGGACTCAACTATTTAGCAAACTATTTTGCCAAGATGACAAGGTGGCATGGATCATCTCCTCCTTACTTACCCCTCACATGGAATCTAGGGAGATACAAGCAGCTACCAATGTTTGAGACTTTTGTTAAGCATTGGTCGCCAAAGGAGCTCAAAGTGGCAATTATTGACACACATGGAAGACAGCTTCTTGTTAGTAGAGTTCACACTTGGTTTGCTAGGGCTTATATATTTCATAAGACATAACTAGGTTGAACGCGATCCAACAACTATTTTTTGGGAAACTCATGCTGGTATGGTCTAAATTTCAAATCATGTCTACCAGAGGAGCAACATAGTCTCGAATGACTCCCCAAGACATGGTATCCCGGTAAAACATGGATAGTATCAATGCCAATCCACCAGGCAGCGGTAGAGTAAAGGGTTGTCAGCTTTTGGTAACGTCACATTGTATCCCTCGCAAATTTGTTACCAAGAAGCCACAACAAATATAGAACAAAACCTGCAAAATTTTAAAGATACAAAGAAAGAGAGAAAATATTTAATAAGAATCATACATTAATTGGGAAATTCTACATTCAATTGTAAATCAAAGGTTTAGGGGAAAAAAATTACCTGAAACATATAATTCACTTTGCACTGCCAATCCACCAGGCAGCAGTAGAATAAAGGGTTGTCTGCTTTTGGTAACGTCAAATTGTATCCCTCGCAAATTTGTCCTTTATGCTCTGTCAGCTTATAAATTAGCAACCCTTCTTTTTCAGCAACATATGCTGGGAAATCAAACACAAGATCCACTTATAAAGTGAGTTTATAAAGTGAGTTTATAAAGCTCTATACCACTCACTACCCATAACTATAGTTCATCATTAACCAAATAGGAACCCCTAGATTCAAGTTATCTCCACCTATTTCTTCTTCTTGTTTTTTTTATAAAAATGCATCTCCATCCATTATATTAATCAACTCTCAACCCAGTATTTGAGTATGATACCAACACTACTAAAAAACGTAACGAGAGAAATATATACAAAATAATACCTGAAAAGAAAAGCCGACAAAAAAAAAATTGATTTGGAACACATAAAATTGGAACCCATGCTGCCATGTTCTTCTCACAATTGCCAGTGTGCAAATCAGCAAACAACGATTGGAAATATTCAATAGGATAGAAAATCATAATAACAATGGTGGTTGTGATGATGCTTAACCCTAAAAGGCACCTAGAGAACACCTACTCTTTGTCCATGGAACAAAGAGTAACACCTAGAACTAGACATGCATAAATCTCAAAAGTTGTTTCTTCCTTGAAAGCAATTATATTTCGTTTCTTAGTTCTAAACTCACGTGCATTTCACAGCTCTCTACTTGGCAATTTATTGAGTAGTAGAATCTCACTCTAAGCACAAACTCTCCCAATTAAATTTCCAATTTGGCAGATGACAAAATCAACAGTTGATTACAGCTCCATGAATAAAGATGTAAAATTGACACAAATAACAAGGGTAAAACATGGTACATGAGAATGCATGTGCATCACTGTATGTGACTATCAATGAGCTTAAAATCTTATCTGTAGATATAAATAGATATAAAGGTACCCGGGCAAGAGTTTCTCTATTACTGCCAATCTTGAAACATTGCATGCAACGGAGGGTATTTTCTGCATGATGAAAATGCATGATGTGAAACCCAATTGTATCACTTATCTATTTTGTCAATGGACGGAGTAAAGGAGGATCTGAAATAGATGCATCGATATTGAGATGGTGGATAACCCACTTTAATAACCCACTTTTCAACGGCATCTTCAGTGCATATGCCAGTGCTAGAGATTTGGAAATGGAGATGTTTTTAATGATAAAGAAAAGCAATGCAAGCCCGATAATGTAACATTTTCAACTATTGTTCAAACTTACACCAGAAAAGTATGGGCTGCTTGAGGTGAAGATAAAATGAGGCAAATGGACCAGCATGACTCAAGTAGTTAATTTAACTTTCTTGTTTGGTAACTTACAAGTTTATTTATATCATTATTATTTCATAGTTGTTGGTGAGAAATACCGCCTCCTCATAAAATCCATTACTAACATCATTTTCTGATGCATAGTAGCTCTATCATAAGACTTGATTAAAAAGTAAGAGTCTGAATCATAGTTACTGGGAATGGGAATGTGAGAAGTTCCAAGAACTGGAACGAGAGCGCAGAGCAAGTCTAGCTCGAAGTTCCCTAAGCAGCCGAGCGAGCTTTGTACATGGCCTAGGGATGGGAGTGAGTTCCATGACTTATAGGGAGCGGAGTACATTGCTATCCGGACGGGAGCGGGTTCCCTACCAAAAGGGATCAAATTGTGCCGTTCTTAGGATCAAGGTTTCTGGAGTTCACTATTTCTTTATATTTTAAACTGGGAGCGAGTTCCATTAGATAGCATGTTTAACTCTTTCCAAATCCACGGTTCCAAGGTATCAATGTAATAAAAATCATGGCATTGAGATTGCCTTTGAATTTTTGATGTCATTGGAGCATGATTTCATACCAAATTCAGCAAACAATAGTATTGGTGTGCATTGGAGCATGATTTCATATCGAATTCAGTGAAAAGCCTTATTGTGATGAATTGGAGCATGATTTCACACCAAATTCAGTAAGCAATATTCTTGTGGTATACTGTGCACTACTACCCCTTAATTATACAATACCCTTCTCTAAACTGGCACTCGATGCTGGGCAAGATTGACCCTTTCAGGTCTATACTATTGACACTCAAGGATGGGCTAGATTTCCCATTTCGACTAAGTTTGTAATCGATGATTGAGAACATGTATTGTGCTCATGCACAAGCATATTGTATATTCCTCCCTCAGTCAAAAGACTCAAAACACCACACTAGGTTGATTGCTTTAGGCTAAAATTCTGGGAACCATCTAGCAATTGCTAGATGATTTGAGGAAAGCCGAATACTTTATACGAATAAAATAAATTGTGTAGGCGTAGCTTGCTCCCATGGTATAGGATACTCGGTTCCTGGTATGATGGAATCGTGGTTCTGAGTGATATTGGAGCCATGATCTTGGGCATACGGATCTGGATCCCACTTGCTAGGGAACTCATTCCCAAATAATAGGAATCGAGTTCCCATAACTCTAGGTATGAGATCCAAATATACAAGGAAGCGTATGGAATTGAGATCCGGTCACTCGGTGGATGGGATCGAGACTAGGGGGCAAAAGCGGACCCCCACATGTGCACTACCGGTAACTATGGTCTAAATAAATAGCTCAACACCAATATGATGAAATTCATCATACCACTTCTACATTTCCTCAATCGGCCCATAGTTACCGCAAGCCTAGATAAGACAATTCATAGTGTAAAGATCTTGTAGGCAGTAAGAGACTTTTCCATATCTTTGAGCATCCTGCCTTGACATATGCATCAATTATACAATTGTAAGTAACAGTGTTAAGTGCAACCAAATTATAGGGCATTTCCTCAAAGACCCCACTGATAAGATCAGAGTGGGACAGTTTAAAGCAACAGCTGATGAGAACCACATACATGTGTTAATTTCATCAATTACAGAAACGCTTCGTTAGTACAATCACTAAGGATATGAGCACCCAAAAGTGGTGTCAGCATTAACTGTTGGTTTGAGTCCTTCAAGAAGCATGCTTTGGAAGAGCTATATATTTGCTCGCTCGTGTCATTTACATGTGCCAAGCATTTGAAAAAGCTGTACATGATATTTGGGATGATTCAAATGTTGCCACAAGGAATAATTCAAAAAACTGCAAATATGCATAATAAAATAATATCTTGATCAGTGAGGTGAACTTCTCATGCAGGAAATCGCCTGGTTTACATCATATCAAAGTTTATTCAAGTGTCAAAGATCATAAAATGTTCCTTGACTATGTATTAGCAATATTAACAAGACCATTTGTTCACACAGATACTAAATGTACAAGATATATTTAAGATTACAAAGGTAGAAGACATGGTCTGGAATCTAAACCGTATCTGTAAGGAGTATAGCTTCTATATTGGGCAATTAATTATGAACATTTCTTACTTCTACCATGATTATTATATTGTAAATGAGAACCACGTGGCTCACTCTAACACAATGCAAATATTTGCAATAATGGTCTTGTCACCTTTAAAAGCATTTCTTCTAATGGGGAAACCTTCTTTCTAAAAGGTCTAAGTCCAATTCAGTGTATTTAAAGCCAGACGCAATGACCGACTAGGCAGGAGAATCCTAAGCAACTCACCATAGGCGGTGGACCCCTAGGCCAGCGACTAGTCAGCCTAAGTGCGGCCAAGCGCTCGCCCCCAAGCCCCTATCGGAGGGCAGAAACATGGGGGAAAAAAGTTTTTTTTCCTAAGGATGGGCTCAAGGCTAGCTGGTCAAGGTGGTGGGTTTCCACAACGTGACGTCTTCAGTTCCCTTCCTACAACGAAGTAGGGAACTAATCCCCATTGAATTACCCAGAAAAAAAAAAGGTCTTTCTCCCCCCTCAAAAAGGGGAAAGGGGTTGGCAGGAGGACCATTTGAGAAACTTCTGTAAATCTCGAGCAATTTTTTGTTTTAATAAAAAAAAATTGGGTTTGGAACAAATCTTTCAAACTTGAAGTTTGAAATTTCCAAGTCTGTTAGACCTAAAGAGTTAAAGAGTTTTGGCATCAAAACTCGTTAATTCGGTGAATTAGTAATTAGGGTGAAAGAGGGTGGCTTTTTTTGTTTTTTTTTTTTTTTTTTTGGGGTGGGTGGTGGGGGGGGGGGGAGGAGGGAGGAAGGAGAAAGTACCAAAGAGAGTAAGGAAATTGCGAGGAGAGAATTACAAGAGAGACGGAAGTGTTGAGAGAGAAAGCACCAAAGGAAGCAAGGAAATCATGAGGAAAGAATCAAAGATGGAGTAAGGTTATGATGAGGAGAAAGAGAGCACCAGAGTGTAAAAAATGAGGAGATAACGATGAGAACAAAAAGTACCCAAGCTCTTTAGCTACAATAGTAGAGTTAGTAAGCCCACGCTTTGTTTGATTACTCTTATACACCCACAACTTCACAGTTCTTTCATCTATGGTTTTCTCCCTTAAAGCATGCTCCAATGTTTCAAAAACCTCTTCCTAAGAAGAATTCAGAGGAAATGGCAAGCACCAGAAATGGAGATCACATAAAGTAGGAAGAGTCACAGTAGTGACCTGGATTGCCACCTCCACACCACGACACGGATAAAGAGGGAAAGAGTGGTTCTAGAGAGAGAGAGAATAAGCAAGCTCAATATGCCCCATATTAGAGAAACAAAGGACGATCTCATAGTTTCCTTTTTTGGAAAGAGAGATGTGGTTTGGTCAACATATCTTATTTTAGAGAAAGGATAGATCAGCTTTCTATTGTGATTTGGAGGGGGGGGGGAGAGTGTGTGTGGTTTTAAAGAGAGGGTGAGCTCAACAGGCCCCTACATTTGAGAGAGAGACTCCTGTATTAGAAAGATTGGGAGAGCTCAACCAACCCTATCTTGGTGAGAGGACAGGACACAAAATCTACCCTGTTTTACAGAGAGAAATGGAGAGCTCAGCTTTCTATCATGTCCATTGTTTAAAACCAAGCCGCCCAACGCCTAGGCACCCAAAGGGCCCTAGGCCGCACACCTAGTCCTGGGCTGGTTTAGAGAGGGGGTGAGCTTAATAGGCCCCTGCATTTGAGAGAGAGGCTCCTGTATCATAGAGATAACATGAGAACTCAATCAGCCCTATCTTGGAGAGAGGAAGAGAAGTAAAATCTACCCTATTTTAGAGAGAGAAACGGAGAGCTTAGCTTTCTATCATGTCCATATTTTAAAACTGGCCACCAAGCACCTAGGAGCTCAAAGGGCCCTAGGTCGCATGCCTAGGCCTGGCTGCCATCCCTGGGCACCAATACCAAGGTGCCCGCCCAAGTGGTGTCGGCCTAGGTGAGTGCCTAGAGCCTAGGCCCTTTTTTGTGGAAATAAAGAAGGTCCTAAGGGCAGTTTGGATCATTTTGACCCACAAAATATACTAGAAAGGGTGTTTGGGGTAAACAACCCCCCCAAAATGAAAAAAAATCAAATCTAAACAAACCCTAAATCGATTCAGTTTGCAAATTTCTTTGAATTGAAAAAAAAAAAAATATATATATATATATATATATATATGAGGTTCGAAGAAGCATCCAAAAGCTTACCCTTTATTCGTGGACTTTGTTTTAGGGGGCTAGTGAAGGTATTAGAAGATTTTTGTCGTGATTTCCAGCTCAACCGACATCAAACACACAGAAGAACATTGATCATGTGTAATTTTGTATCATGATTGGATGTCACTATGGAGTACAGATTGGAGAGTTGGAGACTAATACCCTATGGAGTTAGTTATGCTTTTTCACTAAATTTTCAATGATTTGAAGTTTCGAATGTGCTTTAACATTCATTCTTATATATCTACATGAAAAAAGTAAGTTGCAAGACATACAAATGCAAAAAACTACAAAATTAACATAAATATCTTCATAAATGTGCGTTTGAATAGCACAATTCCTAAAAGATTTTCAACTCAAGATGCCTAAGGTTCTAGGCTCCGGCCTAGGTGCTGAGCCGGCCGACTAGCATTTTCTGAAACATTGATCATGTCCCTAAGGTTCCCAAAATGACGACCGGCGGATACCATTCCATTGCACCCTTAGACTCACCAAATGTTTTGCCTATCATTATTCTACTATATTTCTACATGATTGGTGGCTGAAATTTCTTATTGAGATGGCAGCTGGCCTCCATGAATGATTGATTTGTGAACCACATAGGTTGTGCATGCAAAGAGCATAATATGTTTCCCCATGAAGAAATGAGTACCTTATCTTGAGATATGTGACATTATTTTTCATTAAGAAAAATATATTATAAGTCAAACTGGTATACCACAATGGCATTATTTCTTGCTGCAAAAATAACGTTGTCAAGTTGCACTAGTGTTGCAACCTTGAGGTCACCGCATCAAAATCATTTCGTTTGATGCAAGTTCTCTATTTATGTCTTAAATTTTATATAGCAGCTCCATCCCAAGGCTTTTCTCTCATGTAATTTATAAAGTTGTACTTTTATAGAGGGTACTACCAAGAACAAAAGTTGCAGAATAAAAAAAAAGGAAATCTTTATTCATACATTTATACAGTAATCAAATCATCCCTCAAACTTAAGGGCCCAATTTTTAATGTTTACTCATTGTGTTTTAATTTAGCCCCACAAAATCCCAACAGTGTATTTATATGTCTTTGTACAACGAGAGGCTCAATATTTGTTAACCTGACCTTTTCTTAATAGATTCAGTACAAGCATTCAAGCATTTGCTGTCATATTGGAACCTACTTTCAACAATTTCCTAGTTTACATGAAGGACCTCAAATTTGCATCATAAGACATTTTCTAAAACCTTTGTCTTTTGATAGAGCACAGGAGTTAAACAAAGAATATGGCTTTGAATCGCTTTGTAAAAATAAATTTTTTAGAATATATCATTTTCGCCTAAGGAAAAAGGACGTGGGTTAAAACTTGTGAAGCCCATTCTACTGCTGATATATGCAAAAGTGAATATTACATAAGATTTCTAGGCGGGCCAAGGATGACCCAGGCGCAGACTGATAATTGTTTTGGCCAGTAAGCCCAGTCCGAGCCTGGCTTGTTGGCCGCAGGCCAACCTGATTGGCAGCCCCAATCATGACCAGGGCGTTTATCAGTTTCAAATAAATGGGATAGATGAAGAATTTATTTAATTCAATTGTTCATTTCTTTAATTAAAGTGTGAGGTAGACTCAGTGCTTCTAAAAGGTAACATAGTGACAATGGAGTTTGGGTTGTGATGACCATATGATCATATTATACCACCAATATAAAAGGTAACATAGTGACAAGGAAAAACCCCATTTTACTGACAGAAGGGGCAAAAAAACACATACACACATATAAATACGCATTTTACCAATTTAAAGGCAGATAAGGAAAAAGTAATAAAATGTAAGAAAGAAAACCCAAACTCACCTGCAGTGTCATGGCCATGAAAAGAAGGGAGGGTTTCCTCATAAAATATCTTCACTGCGCTAACAATATGTATGGCAAAAACAGATTCAGCACCTGAATTTGCAGAAATAGTAATAAGAACACGCTCCTTCGCATTGAAAGCCCATGGATTCAACGCGAATCCCCAATGTGTGCCCTTCCGAGAAGAAGCGTCGAGTAGGTAAAATCGCAGCCATGAGGCGGCCGGGGGCACATCACAAATTTGTATTGAAACAGCGGTTATAGTTAAAGGCTAAGTTCTAAACCAGAAGAATCTGTTAAGGAAGTAAGGGCAACTTGCTTGAGAGGTGAACCCTAGATGGTGGGCGGCGTTGGGTTCTTGTGTTGGTGTTGAAGGAATGGGTTTGTCCACTGCAAATAAAGAAAAGTGATTAGAGAGAGAGTCCAATAGAGAGAGACTCAAAATTGCCATGATTTCAAGGTACCCGTGAGTAGGATATTTGATTTATCAGGTGTCAGATGAAAATGTGTTCCGGTGGCGTGCTCCTATGTACAGGGGTACTTATTTATAAATTTTTCGAAAACGCTAGGGTTAATAGAGGCCGTGATTTTTTAAGAGAAATTATTGTTAATATACTTATATTTTAATAAAATTAGAAAAAAAATTTAATTTTTTCAATTTGTGTACGCCTTTTTTCTCAATTTTCTGCTTTTTTTGGACAAAAATAGTAGTTTTTTTTTACCGTAGTGAACATTATGGTATTTTAAATACCGTTATAAGTTGAATGAGTATTATGGTAATTAAAATACCGTAATGCCTTAAAGTAGTATTACAGTAATTTAGTTACCATAATATTGCCCAAGCCTCGTAACAAATGATTTTCTACTTTTTCGAGTTTACTATCTATTTACTCCTTCGACAAAAATCCATACTAGCTGTATTTTTCAAATCTCATATTTTTAATATATAATCTCCACTTAATTTTTATATGGTTCTCAAAATTTTAGAACAATAACACTCCTAAATAAAGTATTTTAGAGCGAGAGAGTAGATCCACATCATGCTTCCATGGGAACATGGATTTTTTAAAAAGAGAGAGGGTCGCCTTAACATTAACTTCAGTTTGAAGCTTTACAACTAATAAAATGATAGAGAGTCTTTACCAATTTGAACTAATGCCATAATTTGAACTATTATGGTAATTTAATTACTGTAATATGTGAGAAGTCTTTACTATATTCTTATTACAGTAATACTTTCTCAATCACTTCCACCCTCCTAGTGAAATTTTTGAGGTAGGCCCTAATTTGAGCATTTAGAGCCTCGGCTCTATATAAACTTTTTCAGTATTTATATGGATTGTGATTTATATCAGTTTGGGTGAGGTGAGGTTTGCATATATTAGACCCGAGTCGCCACGATAAGTCCTGGATAGATGTGGACATAGACTCAAGATCCAATCTTGGTCAAGTATTGGCAATTGGCCCAGTCCCGACTGGTAGACCCAACCCAGGTCCGATATGGATCAAAAAATTGGACCCGGCGGGTTAGGTTCAAGTCCAAATCTGGGTCCTATCAAGTCCGGTCGGGTCCGGGCCTGGGTCTGGGTCTGAAATCCACATTATATTTTTGGGTCTCAATTTATAAAATATATTTAAAGATATAGATATTTTGATTTTTAGGTCGGATCTAGATCTAGTTCCAAGTCCCACATTATATTTTTGGGTCTGGATCCAAGTCCGATGACTTCGGATCTAGGTCGCGCAATTTTTTCAAAGCTGGACCCAAACCCGACCTCCCTTTGCTACTTTCGCCTACAGACGTTTGGGTCCAGACTCATACCCAAGTCTATGCGATTTGACTGATCAGCAGATCGATCGGACCCAATACCACCCCCAATTGAACTCATATAGATAAATTACAAAACCAGATAGGGTAGGTCATGCGTGACTCTCCCCACCACGGGGGTCATAGGGTCGGCACCCCCTTTTCGTTATGACTTGATTATGAATATGGGGAGGACCTTTATCTCTATTGCGATTGAAGCTCTGTTTGATGAGCAATTGTTTCATTCGGGCTTGATTGCATTTTTAGAAGGAAAAAGTTTATATAATGATGCCAATGTGGAACTACGGATACACATCAAAAATCTATCAGAAAAGGTAGTTTTAATATTGAAAAACCCTTTGATTGATCATCTCGACATCGAGATGTATGACCATGAAAAATAAAAAGATTTTAAGTCTAAAAAATAGTGCATTTTACAACATATTATCTACACAATCCATTTTCAAGATTTTCATGTGTTTATAGATTTACTTGATTTTAACCATTTTTAAAATTTAAAATTTTATAATTAGATATAAAAATAGATTTTGAGATAATCCTAAGAATATTTTACATCAAAATTATATATCATGATAAAATTTGAAGGTGCACCTTATCTCTACAGCTACAGATGTATCCGAATGCCAACTGTACCCTTTCTACAATATGCTGTATAAAGCATCCATCTTAAAGATAGATGCAAATAGGTGGTCCATCTAAAAACAATTGTAACTAATGGTTCAAATGTTTTCTCAATATAGTTATTATTTCTAAATTTTAAAAATCATTTATTTATTCATATTCATCATCTTCATGTTAAAGATTATATATTCTCTAAAAATTAAAATCAAATTATATTTAAAACTATATTTATTACCAAACCCGCATGTCTACATGTGCGGGTTTGACCGCATGCTAACCGCATCCTTGTTTGATTGTTTGCGTTCATACGCAATGTCTACAATTTTGCGGAGTGTCTCAGTCTTTCTTCAGTCGACTCAAAACCGATATTTCTTCAGTTTACTCGACTCAAAACCGATACGGTATTGGGCCTATTCTCGTATGGACTCGGGCAAATCACTCGGTACTACCCTTGTTTAGTGGGAAAAAAAAAGGCAAAAAAGTGTTTTTGTGTTTTATCTTTTTCTCAACCAACAATTCACCTCCAAACCCCGTTTTGATTGATTTGGTTACAAACCGATTTCTCTAACCCCCCCCAGTAATCATTCTTTTAAGTTTTTTAAATTAAAAGTTTTATTTAGACAAATTTTTATAAAAATACCATTTTAAGCCTTAAAATCCAATCCACCTTTCTTACAATCTCTCTCATTTCTGGATCAAATCACTGCAATTTAATTCAAAATGTTGGTGTTGGAACCCTCTAACAGACCCATGAAAACCAAAATAAAAAAAAAACCAAACGTTTAAATGTCAAAAAATTTTAACCCAAAATAAAAAATATTCAATTTTCTCTCACAATTTCACCAAATCTGTTCAAAATTGACCCAAAATGTTTCTAACCACATTGATCTACAAGGCCGTAAAAAAATTGCTTTGAATTAAAACCAAAAATCTCTATGATCAATTTTTTGTTTTTCTCCATTTTCTATTTTTTGTTTGTATCTTTTAATGTGAGTTTGATTTATACCTCCTACAATATGAAATAAATTACTTGAATCCCAATATTTGACTATGTGTGTGTGTCTGTTTTTTTTGGGGATGATTTCCCCTCTTTTTTCTCTATTATAAGTATAGATTTTTAAATATATTAACCGAGCTAACTCGATGGGTGACCTGTTTATCCCACTAGTTTAAATCTTTAAACATTACTCATGACAATGTAGTGAGCTCAAATAGGATTTTACAACTTAGCCCATAAAATTCTAAGGCCATCCCCAAAATCTTGCCTGAGAAATGGAGAGAACTCCAAACCCATAACCCCACATTACAAGCCAAACAATTCCTAATGGTTGCCTCTCCATTCTTACAAAGAATTACAACTCTACTTTTACCTATTTTTCTTTAGGGACAACCAATTGCATTTTGCTAGCCCCCATGAGTGAATTTCTTCTTTTTTGGGCACATATTGTGAAGGAAATTATTCACATGGCACTTGACACCTGAAGCAAAACATTCCTAAGAAAACACACTTTTGTACACAATTAGTAAACAGGGCAACCTTCAACAACCACCCCTTTTACTGTAGGGCAAGAAGCCAAGGGACAACCATCAAGCTCTGAACCCCACCACTTAAGGCTAATGTCCTCAAGCCCTAAGCACAAGTATAGCAAAACCCCCATGAAGGCTAACACTGCATCTAGTGCACCCGAAAGAATGTAACTGTAGCGTTGCCACCAATCACGTCTATATCTGTAAAGAACGAAATTGGAGAAAAATCCCATCAAAATCCAACTAGTGTAATTCACTGCAGTGGCGGGAGGCATCTGGATAAGTGCCCCTATTAAGACTGGCATGTTGATGAGACGAATCCATTCTTTGTCCGGAAAGGCATGATGAGCAAGCCATACAAGAAGAGGGGCTATGGCCTCCACCTAAGAAGAACCAATTAATAGCTGAGTAGGTGCCAAGGTCACCAAATATTCGACGTGGTCCAATGAGCCCCCATATTACAGAGGCATCATAGAAAACATGGTCCATTGGACATCTCCATGGGCTATTGGAGGGGAGCAGCGAGGTGTTGCAGATGTTGGGGACGGAATTCATGAGCCACCATGCAGTTCCCAGGTAGACCATAGCTGCGATCATGGTTCCTACTACCTGCATGAAATGTTGACCAAATTGCTTAGTTAAAGCATGCTTCACCTTGAAGCGCAAGTGTCAGTTTGGCCACCATACTTTAATCTCTGAGGATTTCTTCAATCTCCACTATAAATTTGTCAACAGAACTTCTCTTTTCCACTTTTGGAAAAGCTATAATAGCCTCACTAACAAATCTGCCATACCACATAGAATTTGAAAAATATGAGAGTTCTTTATCCAAATCTTCCAGATATATGCAAGCTGAGCGAGAATAAGTCCACCATTATTCAGTGAAACACAAAAAGCTCGACCCACTCGGTCATTACCATAACCAAGTCAACTCGCCATGTCAATCCCTTAACTTGCCAAAAATCAGGAAAGGCACAACATATTGCTACCAGTCCATTAAATAACATTAGGTTTGTGGGAAGATGGGAGGGGCATCCATATCGTTCTTTTTCAGATTTTGGTGTGGAAAATGGGATAAGAATCTTAAACATTAGTGGTAGAACATGTTCGCTCCAACTAATAAGCTTAAGCGAAAGCCATAAGGGAACTTCCCTCCTTAATTACAAGATTCAGCAGCTAGCACAAAACTTATTGTCAAAGGTGTAAAGATGGACTTCAACAGAAACAATTCTAACATTAGTGTACTAACAATAATGTGTTTTCTCTTTACCTGTGCCATCAACATTGTTCTCGGAGGTATCTTCATGTAATGGC